CTTTTTAGAATACTATCAAAAATTATATAAGAGTGCCAATATTCAAACTACAGATATAAACAATTATTTAGGTAAAGTTAACTTTCCTAAATTAACAGAAGATCAGGAAAAAGAGATTAATGGCTTAATTACTAAAGAAGAAATTGTTACAGCTATTAAACAATTGAAATTGGGCAAAGCGCCGGGTACGGATGGGTTGACATCTATCTATTACAAAACTTTAGTATAAGAGATGACTCAACCATTGTGTGAATTGTTTAATAACTTATTACAGGGTTTAGAGATCCCTCCATCTTGGCGTAATGCATTTATATCATTGATTCCAAAAGATAATCAAGATCTTACATTGCCTAAAAATTATAGGCCTATATCTCTTTTAAACGTGGATTATAAAATCTTTGCAAAAATTTTAGCTAATAGGTTTATGGGGATTTTGCAGCAGTTTATACATAAGGATCAATCGGGTTTTATAACTGGAAGGTATATGAAAAATAATGTTAGACAAATTATTAACTTATTAGAGTATCTAGAAAAGAATAACCAAGTCTCTGCAGGCCTGATATTTTTGGATGCTGAAAAAGCCTTTGACCAAGTGAATTGGCAGTTTATGTTATGTTTAATTAAGGAGATGAATTTTGGACAAAATATATTACAAGTATTATCTAATATATATCAAAAACAGACTGCTCAACTTATTGTAAATGGGGGTTTGTCAGAGGCTTTTGTAATAGAAAAAGGAACAAGACAGGGATGCCCGTTGTCTCCGTTATTGTTTGTTTTAACACTGGAAATTTTGTTGATTAAAATTCGGGAGTCTCAAGAAATAAAAGGAATAGAAATTAATAAAAAAGAATATAAATTAAGAGCCTTCGCAGATGACTTGGTTGTTACTTTGTCTCAACCTACCTGTTCGGTGGTAAAATTATTACAATTGATTCAACAATACGGATGTGTTTCTGGTTTTAAAATTAATAATAATAAGACCAAAATATTAGCTAAAAATATGACTAATGTTGATAAACAGGTTTTAGTTAACTTAACAGATTTTGAAATTGTTGATAAGGTAAAATATTTGGGGGTCACATTATCTGCTTCTAATGCAAAACTGTATAAAAATAATTATGAAAAGCTGTGGATGGAGGTACAGAAGGATTTAAAAAACTGGAACAACTTACAGTTATCCCTTATGGGTAGAATTGCAGTTATCAAAATGAATGTCCTGCCAAAGTTTATTTTTTTGTTTCAAATGTTACCTATTTTAAAGAATGAACGTAATTTAGATGAATGGCAAAAAGGTATTAATAAATTTGTTTGGGCAGGGAAAAAACCAAGGGTGAAACTTAAAATAATGCAAGATTTTCGTGAGAGAGGTGGACTCAAGGTACCAAATATGAAATTGTATTATGATGCTGTAGTATTAACATTGATCAGCGACTGGGTGAATTTAACAAATATAGAAATACTTCATTTGGAAGGTTGGGACTTACTTTTTGGATGGCATGCCTATTTAATATTTAATAAAAAAGTGGATTGGGTTTTCAAGTCTCATATTATAAGAATCTCTTTGCTTAGAGTGTGGAGAAAGTATTATAAAAGTGACTTCAAAATACCATTATGGGCTATACCTCGGCATGCCATAGAAGGCATAAGGAAAGGGGTTAATATGGATGTGGTCTCTTATGCACAGTTACTTAGATGGGATGGCCAAGATTGGCAGTTAAAATCTTTGGAAGAATTAACGCATGAAAATTTAACTTATTCATGGTTCCAATACAGACAAATAGTGGACAGATGGAAGATGGATTGTAAAATGGGCTGGCTTAGAGAAGATGAAGCTCTTTTAAAACAAGTAAGAGATCAAAGGCCAACCCATATTAAGAGAGTTTATGGGGTTTTAGTGGAATTGGACTCAGAACCTGAATTAGTTAAAGATTGTATGATTAAATGGGCACAGAATATTGGTGAAACGATTTCAATGGATACTTGGGAACTTATTTGGATAAGAAATGTTAAATTCACACAAGCGCAAATTTTAAGAGAGAATTTTTATAAGATGTTTTATAGATGGCACCTTGATCCAAAGAAAATGTCCATTATGTACCCTAATCTGCAGCCGAAATGCTGGAGATGTGGACATTTGGATGCTACTTATTATCATATTTGGTGGACGTGTAAGCATATAAAAGCTTTTTGGATTAAGATATGGTGGAATATCCAAAGAATTTTTAAACGGAGGGTAAAATTTACTCCGCAATTATTTTTACTAGGTATTGTTACTGATTGTGATGCTAAGGAGGTTATATTGATGTTAAATTTGATTACAGCCGCTAGGCTGTTAATAGGGCAATATTGGAAGAAGGAATCCTTGCCTACTTTGCAAGAGTGGTTTCATAAAGTTTCGTATCTGGCAGAAATGGCAAAGATTTCGGCTTTTTTAAAGGAGCAATCTCAAGAGAAATTTTTTGCAGTATGGGAAAAATGGATAACTTTCATACAATATAATTTGGATATGGAAAAATATTATTTAGCCTTTTTATAACTTGTAATGATTGTTTTTTCCTTCTTTCTTTCTTCCTTTTTTCTTTACGTATTATTACTTATATATTTTTTATATATATATGTTCTATTTTTCGTCTACTTTTTTCTTTTTTCTCTCTCTCTCTCTTTTCTTTTTCCTTTTTTTTCTCTCTTTCTTAGTACATATTATTCATTTTAAAGCTTATGTTATGCATATTATTATTATACATATTATTATATATATTATTATTATGATCTTTATTATTTTTATTAATTATCTTATAAATTGTAAACGTTATTTTTTAAAATTTGTTAAATAATCCTATATTCAGTTCTGGGAAGTCGGGGGGGGGAGGGTGGGGTGGTTTGGGAGGGGGGGGATGTTTATTTGTAAAATTTTTGAAAAATTTCAATTAAAAAAAAAAAATCATCCTAGTTGTTCTTTGCACTTTTTGTAAAGTCTCAACATCTTTTTGTAATGTGGTGACCAAAACTGGGTGGTAAAATGCTTCTAGTTCAAATGCTTCCACTGGGCGCTATCTAACAAAATGAAATGCAATGGTGAAAAAAGTAAGGTTCTACATTTAGGCAAGAAAAACCAAATGTACAGGTATAGTATAGGGGGTACTTTGCTCAATAGTAGTAACTGTGAGAGGGATCTCGGAGTCCTAGTGGACAATCATTTAAATATGAGCCAGCAGTGTGCTGCAGCTGCCAAAAAAGCCAACACAGTGCTAGGCTGCATTAACAGAGGGATAGAATCAAGATCATGTGAAGTGTTAATACCACTTTACAATGCCTTGATAAGGCCACACTTGGAATACTGCATCCAGTTTTGGTCACCACGATGTAAAAAAGATGTTGAGACTCTAGAAAGAGTACACAGAAGAGCAACAAAGATTAGGGGACTGGAGGCTAAAACAGATAAGGAATGGCTGCTGGAACTGGGTATGTCTAGTCTAATGAAGAGAAGGACGAGGGGGGACATGATAGCAGTGATCCAATATCTCAGGGGCTGCCACAAGGAAGAGGGAGTCAAGTTATTTTCCAAAGCACCTGAAGGCAGGACAACAAACAATGGATGGAAACTAATCAAGGAGAGAAGCACCCTAGAACTAAGGAGAAACTTCCTGACAGTTAGAACAATTAACCAGTGGAACAACCTGCCTCCAGAAGCGGTGAATGCTCCAACACTGGAAGTTTTTAAGAAGAGACTGGAGAGCTATTTTTCTGAAATGGTGTAGGGTTTCCTGCGTGAGCAGGGGGCTGGACTAGATGATCTCCAAGGTCCCTTCCAACTTTATTATTACTATTATTATTATTATGGATCATCGCACAGTCAGCCAGATGTTCAGACTGGATTTGGCATTTTGTTTACCTATCGAGTCCTTACCCAGGACCTGGGATAGGCAGATGTGGATGTTTGATGGTATTACAGATATCGTCGCATGATGGAAGCAGTTCCTAGTAAGGCCGCCTTTTGCAATTGACTAATGGCGAATTTGTCAATGCCAATGGTGTTCAAGTGGTGCTCCAGTTGTTTTGGGATTGCACCCAAGGAGCCTATCACTATTGGTACTACCCTTGTTTGCTTTTGCCACAGTCTTTCTATTTCTATTTGTATTATTATTATTATTATTATTATTATTATTATTATTATTATTATTATTATTATTGTTGTTGTTGTTGTTGTTGTTGTTGTTGTTGTTATTGTTGTGAATTTGCTTTTAAGGATAAAACAATATTAGTCTTTATTCAATAATAGTTCAATCTAAGAATCTCTGCTTCCAAATTTTGAACCTTAGTCTGGGAATGTTTTTGTAGGTGGAATAGACTGACAAAAATACGATTTTTTCACTTCTTTTGCCATCCAGTCATATTGCAGTCCCATGACCTGCTGACCTAGCAAAGAGGGCTGGGCCTTGTAACTTACTTCACTGGATGCCGGGAACCTCAGCACTCAATGTAGGCCTTATTGATCTGGGCATTAGCCAATCCAGTATGGAATTCCAACTTTGTTTTCACACTTGTTAATGATGGCTTCTCTGTGGAGGCTTGTCTGGCTTGCTTGAAGCTTCTGGTTGGCAACTCATTGTCATTAGCACGTATTTAAAAAACCTAATAGATTTGGGTATCATCAGTATAAAATTCATAAGGAAAACCTTGACAAAGTACCAGGAAGTCAAAGGAAAGAGTATGGAAGATAGACAAAATAAGATATAGGATTGGTCACTAACATTACACTCCTTTCCACATTCTTGTAGCCCGAGCTGACCAAAAAAATAAAACAAAATAAGGCCTAGAAAGTTTGTAATGTTACTGTTAACTGCTTGGTTCTTCAGGGATTCTTTCTGAATAGCAATATTTAATGAGTCAAATCTGAAAACCAAATTCTCCAAAGGGCAGCCCTTCAACAGCATCTCTATACATACTGCAGTGCCTGAGTAGGCTGAATGTGTTCAGACCAAACAAAATAAGAAACAGTGTTCTTTTGGGATTTCCCCTTGGAGTCAGCTAAGCTTAGAAACAGTATGTATTATTTAACCATTTCTTCTTCCCTATAGACAAGACGACTCAAATTAGAACTCATGGAACTGAGTTCAAATGCAGTACTGAGAATTCATTGTTTCTAAGAGTTGAATCATTCTGATAAACCAGAATGACGTATGCTATATAGATCTGGATTCTGGCAATCTGATACCAGTCTTTTTCTATGAATCAACATAGTCCATGGTGGAAAAGTTATGATTGATGAGTAACAATATCAATTGTTTATTAGCGTAAATCTTGAAATAACTGAGATCTTAACTCACTCAATTCTCTTCCTCTTACCTACGGAGGTATGAGGTGTGTGTATATGTGTTTTTTTAAGTCAAGCTGTTTGTTTTTGTGATAGATGTAAAATTTAGAAATCAAATCTTAAGTATGATGGCTAAAAATGCTAAGTATATATATCTTGTGGCAAATAATAATAATAATTAAGGCTTTCTTAAATATCTAAAGGGCTCCCAAACAGAATAGATTATTCTCAGTGCTGCAGATGGAAGGAATAATGATTTTAACTAAATCTTGGAGGTAGGGGGGTATAATTGATACTGTGCTGGTTATAACTGAGGTAAAAGATGGTGTATGGGGGACCCAGGATTCAGGAAAAAAAATTAGGAAGTTAGATTTTTTGGGAATCTCATACTATATTCTTGTATAATTGTGGGTTATCTCGTTGTATAATGATATAACGTATAATGTGCAAATTATACATGTACAATATATACACTATTCAAAATTCATATATTTGAAAGAATCTGGAAATTGGAGAGGGCAACATAGTTCTGCCTGTATTTCCCATTAAGAAGCTTTATAACTATCCTATAACATGCTAGGTTATTGCAGTATTTTTTTAAAAAAGAATCCTATTCTGATTCAGCCACTGAAAATTATTTTGCTAACAGAAGTCACAGTCTAGCCAAGTTTTGACAGTTATAATGCTTTCTAATTCTATTGCATTAAGCAATATTTTACTGTTAATTTTATTGAAATTAAGTATATGGGATATAGATGTAATGTTGGCCTTATTGTACTGGTTCTTATTTCTATCTTTAAATGAACAAAGCAAACCTTGATCCAGACATCTTTCATAAGCAAATGTTATCGGTTGCATTTCTATTGATGATTTCATGCATACGCTACCTTTCCATTAAGATATTACATATTATGCTTTGAAGAAAAATCCTGCTTGATAGTTGGGACTGAAAGTTTGAGTCTGGTCTAATATTATTCAATGAGTCTAAAGCTGAAAAAGACTTGAGCAGAACACTTCTAAAACAAGGAATCCGTGGTGCTCTCTGAGCTTGGTTGTTTTCTTGCAGACATTTCATCACCCAAACTAGGTAACATCATCAGGGCAAGTAAAGGACTCCTCATGCTAGACAAGTGGGGTATAAAGTAGATCATCCTAGATCAGGGGTAGGTAACCTTGGCTCTTTTATGACTCGTGGATTTCAACTCCCAGAATTCCTGAGCCAGCATGGCTCAGCTTGGAAACCTCTCCCTTTCCCCTCAGCATGGCTGGCTCAGGAATTCTGGGAGTTGAAGTCCACGAGTCATAAAAGAGCCACGGTTGCCTACCCCTGTTCTAGATGTTTCTAAACTATCCAACTGAGAGATTTTTGCAATGGCTCATTTAAGTGAAAGTATCTTTGAACATCAAGATCCCTTCCACTGAAATGAACTTTTTTTTTTTAAAAAAAGATTATTATCAGAACCATTTATAGGGGTTAATATAAGAGATATATTAGAAACCACATCTCTATTAGCACAAAAACCTCTGAAATGTGTGTGATATTTCTGATTATATTTTAACTTAATGATTTTTACAGGTATTTCAGTGGCTTATACCCTTGTAAACTTTGTCTTTCAGTCTTGAGCACAAATCCAGCCAAATAAAGGCACCATGGGAAATGGGAATGTAACTTCATGGACAGAATTTCATCTTATTGGACTTAGTCACCTGAAAGCTCCCACTGTTTTCTTTGTTGTTGTTCTGTTGATGAGTCTTATTGCTCTGACAGGAAACTCCCTCCTCTTCTTTCTAATCCAGATGAACTCCTCACTTCATACCCCTATGTACTTCTTCCTGAGCCAGCTGTCCTGTGTGGATATGGGCCAAATCCTCATTGTGATCCCTAAAATGTCAGTCATTTTTTTAACTCAAAGAACCACTATTTCACTGGGAGGCTGCGTAGCACAGATTTTTCTAACTCTGACCATGGGAACCTCTGAATGTTTCCTTTTGACTGTCATGTCATACGACAGGTACGTGGCCATCTGCAGACCTTTGCAATACCCAGTTCTCATGAGGAGAACCATCTGCCTAATCATGAGTCTAGGAATCTGGTCCTCTTCATCGCTTATCATTATGGTCATAGCAATTTATGTACAATCTCTGTCTTACTGTAGATCAAACGTAATTGATCATTTTGTCTGTGAATTCCCAGCTTTGTTGAAACTAACATGTGCTGATACATCTGGATTTGAAAAAGTAATATATCTTGACAATGTGTTGATAATTTTCTTGCCCATTGCAGTGATTATCTTCTCATATATAGCCATTCTTGTGCAGATTTTGAACATGCACTCAACTGAGGGAAGGCAAAAAGCATTGGGCACTTGCGCGTCCCATTTATGTGTAGTGAGCATCTTCTATGGGGCATCCATCCTGACATACAGTACTCCTGTAGCTTCTTATTCAGCCCGTAAGTCCATGATTTATTCAGTCTGCATCACAGTTGTCCCTCCAATGCTGAACCCTTTTATCTATAGCTTACGGAACAGAGATGTTATAGCAGCTCTACGAAAACTCCTTGTAAGACATCCAACCTATTAATAAAAGAGATGAGGGGAAATTTCACAGAAGTCTCTTTTTTGTTAATATCCTTATTTTAATTACAGCAATGGATTAAAAAAGAGGTCTGTCAGTTTTATTCACAATAATGGAAATCAAAAACTCTTTGCTTACAATGGGGATGATTGAGAAAAAAAGGAGGTGCCTGGCATTAAAATCACAGAATCATTTGATCACAGGCCCACATATAGCATGGGATACCATGGACCCTTCTCCATTTGTCATTACCATACCAAAATAATTCCATGATTTGATATTTTTCTCCATGGAACCTGAAATTTGTACTTTGCTTGCCTAGTAGTTTCCTTCCTTCCTTCCTTCCTTCCTTCCTTCCTTCCTTCCTTCCTTCCTTCCTTCCTTCCTTCCTTCCTTCCTCCCTCCCTCCGTTCCTGAATGTGACAAATGAAGTTAATAATGTGCAACTGAGAAGATTTCTTGAAATTCTGTGAGCTGGTGGACTAAAGAAGTTCCAGTTAGAGTTAGGAGAAAGTATTTTAGAAGAGACAGAGAGTTGATTGGTGTGTGATAAAGAGGCGTGAAGAATGAAATAGTTGGATAATAAGAAGCAGATCATCTACGAGAGACACTCTGGAGGCTGTTCATCTTCAACTTAAACTGGTCTTGTAGAGTGAAGCTGTCTTGACACATAAGCTATGTTTAGAGTTGAAGTGAAAATGGTAAAGACAGAGCAGCATAACTTCATGGCTGCCATTACTGAGAGATTGGCAGTCACAGGGGAAGGCTACACATCAGTGCTGGTGTGTAGACTAAGGTAGCCTTCTATAAAAGATCAATGGGGTTGGGAGGCCATTGGCTGAGGATGATGTAGTTGGTGCTTTCTGAGAGCATTATATTATTGGGCTCTATGAGCCAGAAATTATGCAGGACTCAGGGATTCTTAATCCTAACGTATGTCTGGAGAGGAATTATGAGTTGAAGGTATACGGGAGATAATGATAAGAAAAGGTAGGTATGAGAGATTTGCTAGATTGCTAGTTTCCTGAGCCATGACTGAGTAGAAGAAGTATATGAAAGGTTGTGAGAAGAATCTGATGGATGTTCATGATGGGCAAATTGAGCCAGTCCTGTAGTAGCACCTCAGGTTGCTGCCTTCATCTCAATCTGCCCATGAATGAATCAGCCTTATAAAAGCCTTATTTTCCCCTGCATATGAAAGGACTCTGTTTCCTGCTCTTAAGCTATGCAATACATTCCCTCCCATTCTGGGGTGGGATCAACTCTTCTGATACAGGCTCCCTCTTACATTTTACTGTAGACTAAGTGCTATTGCTATTGCTGTACATTTTTAAAGAGCAGCCCACATAATGTGCATTGCAGTATCAAAGCACGACAAGGTATGGCTTGATGTTTCCAACTCCAACCAATTCAGGAAAGAATGCTGTGACTATGTTCAAAAGTGTGTTCTAGACCACAGTTGCTCCCTTTGGATCTAATGACAGGTGAGGATCAAGATCAACTCCAGATTATGGGGCAGCATTTTCAGAAAGACGGAACCTTGTGCAGAATAGGCTGAATTTATGTCTTTGAGTTCAGTTTGCTGCAAATTCAGTAGCATTTTATTTTCTCTGGATTTAATTTCAAATTACTGTATAACTATTATCATAATGGTCCAATGATAATAAGCATTATCAAATCTAAGATATATTAAAAATATTATTGTTTCCTGGAATTTAGATGACATTGAGCAAGCACACTGTCAATATGGTGGGAGGTATTCAACTCCACAACTCTAAATGTGTTTTCCCAGAGATTTCATGCATATATTTGACAGCTAGAGGGACAAGATGGAATCCTGTGGGGTACTGCAAATCAAAGACCAAGTTTCAAAACATTTCCCATCATCATCTTCTGGACCCAACATGACAGGGAAGTCTGGAATCCAATAGAAGAGAAGCATTTAAAACCACAGAGCTTGCTACAGAGACCCAAGAAAACATAGGTCAGACATTCATGCCACAGACCAGAAGAACACAGAATCAGAATTAACTCAAAGAAGAGCATAGAGAGCAACACTTAAAAATGTAAAGAAGGACCAAATGCTAGGCAGCAGCAATTGGTTTTAATGTTTCTTTTGCCCTTCAGAATGTAGACTTTAGGTCACCACTTAGAATAGGGGAGCATATAGGGTGCCCCATGATCTCTAGAGCAGAGGTCCCCAACCTTTTGGGCGCCAGGGGCTGGTTCCGTGGAGAAAGGTTTTTCCATGAACGGGAGAGTGCGTGGTTTTGTGTGCTGCCTGCATCCCACGGATGGGGCTTTGCTTGTTTGTGCAGACCGGATGCTGGCATGCCACGGCCCAGTACTGGGCCACATACTGGAGGTTGGGGACCCCTGCTCTAGAGGGTCCAAATGGGCTGCGACAAAGCTGCCACAAAACTAAGTGCAGGTTTGCTGTCTCACCTTCTGAGAGCCACCTGCTTGTACAGAAATACATTACGCTTTCCAAACTGTACATACATACTACTGCTCATTGTGACTTTTTGCCACAGCAGGTAGAAATTGAGCCTTACAAGTTTCATAAGAGGCTAATCTACAAACATTTTACAGAAACATTCTCATGCTTCTGATTTAATAGAATGTCCCTGATCGTTCCCGAGTTCCTGTTTCATAATTATCTAGGGATATTTAATTAAATGGACTTAAAAGTTTTTTTAAAAAAGCAAACATGTTTAGAATTGTAAGGTATACAAATAAGTAATGGGCATATCTGAACTACAGGTAGTTCTGGACCTATGACCACAACTGACCCAACATTTCTGTTGCTAAGTGAGACATTTATTTTGCCCCATTTTACGACATTTCTGACCACAACTGTTAAGTGAATCACTGCAGATGTTAAGTTAGCCATGTAATTGTTAAGTGAATCTGGCTTCCCCATTGACTTTGCTTGTCAGAAGGTCACAAAAGGGGATCATATGACCCCAGGACACATTGCAACTGTTATAAATATGAACCCATTGCCAAGCGTCTGAATTTTGATCACGTGTCCATGGGGATGCTGGAATGGTTGTAAATATGAAAAACGGTCATGAGTCCCTTTTTTCAGTGCCACTGTAACTTCGATTGGTCACTAAATGAATTGTTGTAAGTCAAGGATTACCTGTACTGTATTGCAATGCATTCTACATGGAGCTACCCTTGAAAAGTCTCCGGAGGTTTCAGCTGATACAGAATGACGTCACACAAGCAATTCTGGGTGCCCCAAGGATGGCACATGTAACACCTCTGCTGTGCAAGCTGCATTAGGTGCTAATTTGGTTCCAGTTTTCAGAGATGAGGAGGACCCCAACTCTCCTGGCCTTCCAGAAGAGTCCAGAAGACCTGGTTATGCCAACTCACTTGGCACTCACAGAGGAGCATGTAACACTATGGCTGGTTTGCATTCTGAAGGCTCTCTGCTTTTTTAATTTGAAAACTTTACTAATCATTTGTTCTAGCTACATCCTATTGGAATATAATATGGTTTATGTTTTCATTGTGAAACCCCCCCCCCTCCCGAGTTGCTTTATGAGTGAGATGAGAGGTTTCCAGATTTGATATATAAATAAAAAATGAACTGGATAAAATCCAGAAAGATCAAAAAACAGTACTGGCAAAATATTATAATATTAAAAGTTAACTTAATAAAACAAGCAGGCAGTATTTTCTGTCTTAACCTTGAGAATAATATTTGTATAAAAATTTTTTTGTCATCTAATATCTAAGTGAACTACAACAATCTTTTTTCAAAATAAAGAGAAAATATCCTTGAATTTTCTAAGTGTGTGTGTGTGTGTGTAGAAAAAGGGGAAAATGGCAGGAATGGACTGAAGGAAATTGTAGGGAACATGACAATTTGTTCAAACAAAATAATTTTCAGCTTTCCATTTCTGAAACTTCTCAGTAATTGAGATCTGGAAGCCTCAAAGGTAAAGTTGTGATAATTTATCCTTGGAGATTTAAAAAAGATGTTGAGACTCTAGAAAGAATGTAGAGAAGAGCAACAAAGATGATTAGCAGACTGAAGGCTAAACATATGAAGAAAGGTTACTGGAATTGTGTTTGTCTTGTTTACTGAAAAGAAGCATTAGGGGTTACATGATAGCAGTGTTCCAATATCTAAAGAGCTGCCACAAAGAAGAGGGGGTCAACTTATTTTCCAAAACACCTGAAGGTAAAATAAAAAGCAATGGATGGAAACTAATCAGGGAACGAGCCAACCTAGAACTAAGAAGAAAATTCCTGACAGTTAGAACAATTAATCAGTGGAACAACTTGCCTCCAGAAGTTGTGGTTGCTCCATCTCTGCAGGTTTTTAACAAGAAACTGGACAGACATTTGTCTGAAATGGTACAGGGTTTCCTGCTTGAGTAGGGGGTTGGACTAGAAGACCTCCAAGGTCCCTTCCAACTCTGTTATTCTGTTAAAAACAGGGAAATCAAATGTTATGAAAATGATATTTCTGGTTTAGACTTAACCAAGTGACAAGGCTTTTTTTTTAAAACTTGGCAGTTAATATGTTTGGAGACTTAAATGATTTTGCTGTGATAATAGCATATCTGTAAATTGGGAAATGTTTCAAATGTTCTTATAGCTTTTAAATTATATTTGCATCTGATCGATGATGGTCTGTTAATACTTGTTATTGTGGACCTATGAATATTGATCATTATATATTAAAACAGATTTCAAAATGTGTATTAAATAATTTCAAAACACTATGTCCTTTTTAAATGTAAAGTGGCTATGTTATGCATTAGGTGAATTAGTAACCTTTTTTAGATAAATCACAGCGAGGAGGGTAAGATAGGATCCATGAAGAAAAGCAGCAGGAACATTTCAGCATCTTCAGAACGTATATATTGGTTCCCCTTAAAACTATGTTTCTTTCCTACTTGCTTTTGCAAACATAAATGCAGTAGATACAGGTATGTGACTCTTGTACCCTCATTATATTTTCATTTTTATTGTGCATTGATAAAAATATTAATATATTATAGCTATACAGATCTGCAAACAGTATAATCTGTTTGTCTGATTGCCAGTCTATCTACTATAATGGGGTGGGATCTTCTATCTGTTGGGAAAGGGGCAGTGGTGGGATTCAAATATGTGAACAATCGGTTCTCTGTGTGGATGCCGCTTCTGGAAGTCCATTCTGGGCGTGGGCAACAAAAAAAATTAGCTACCGGTTCTGCCTAAGTGGTGTGAACTGGCTGAATCCCACCACTGGAAGGGGGTCCTTCCATCTGTAAGGAACATCTGATCCAGAAGAGGAATTGTGTTAGAAGAATGGAGATGATATCCCCTCTTTCAGAATGTAGAAGTGGATATCCCCATTTCCAGAATGGTTATGCTCGAAGCTACAGAGTGAGATCTCCACTTTCTAGGTGTATGAATATTCACACAGAGCAAGAGAGACACATTCACATAATCTACCTAACCCCATGCATCTCATTAATGTCTACATTTTATCTCTGAAGCAAATCTTTAGGCTTATTTGTTACGTTAGATCCTTTTTGTTACATAACATTAAGTGTTTTGCAGAGATATGTAATTTTTATTTATTAAATTTCTACACTGCCCATTTCACCTAAGTGACTCACTGATATGTCTAAAGATAATACCTAAAAATGTCACCAGCATATATTTTCATTGCTAACCTTTTTTTTTCTTCAGAACATTGGCATCACCGGCCCCCATTGTTATCCTTCAGCTGGAAATTTTCTGTAGGAATCATAAGAATTAAGCTATGGATATACTTAGGATCACCTTTTTATCACACACTTCTAATTAGTGGATATCTGTTTCTACTTGGGAAAGTTTATCTCTACATCCATGAAGAGATACTGAATACTGAAAAAGGGTAAATAGAAATTACAAAAAGCATGTGCTGCAGCCCCAAACATCTGGAAACCTGAACTGGCAACAGTGTAGAGCAGAATAAGAGTCTGAGTATGTGAATGAAGGTGTAGATGGTCTACCTTTCTGCGGCAGAAAACTGCAAGAGAGGAAAAATATCCTTATTCTGAAACTGAGTTTGTCCTTTGACTCTAATAGTCAGCTTTTACAATTTGAGCATGGTCTGCATTCATATAAACTAGACTTCCCAAAAAGGAAGCTTTCCATAATTCCAGGTTGTTGGGAAATTTGTAAATAGAAGTCCAGAGACAATGTGGAGGATATGGCTATAATAAGACATTGATGTCAAACAATATGTTTGACGTTCTAGTTCAACCATACAGGGGATCCCACCACAATGGAAAAGCATATTACAGTGTTACAAAAAGAAACCACTCTGAATGTTATTTTGGCATTTTATTTTTCCCCTTCATAATATTGGTAATCTAACTATATTTTCTTCTTGAACCTTTACATAAAACCCAGACAAACAAAGGAGGAATGAAGAAGAACAACACAACCTTTTGGGTGGAATTTGTTCTTGTTGGACTTCAGCATCAAAGGTCACCCACCATTTTTCTTGGTTTCATCCTCCTCATGTTTGTAATTGCTCTTGCTGGAAATAGTCTTCTTCTGTTGGTGGTTAAAATGAGCTCCAGTCTTCAGACACCAATGTATTATTTCCTCAGTCAATTGGCTTTTATGGACCTTTGCCAAATCCTTTCAATTGTTCCTCAAATGACAGCCCATTTTATAAGCCAAAGATACACTATTTCACTGTACCGATGTGTTTTTCAGATTTTTGTCACGCTATTTATGGGAGGATCAGAGTGCCTGATCCTTGCAGCCATGTCCTATGATAGATATGTGGCTGTTTGCAGGCCTTTACAGTATGCAACTCTTATGAGGAGCAAAATCTGTCACATCATATCAATAGCTGCCTGGTTCTGGTCTTCAGTGCAGGCTTTGAACTGCTCCCTCTATGTCCTGCCTCTTCCCTATTGCAAGTCCAATGTGATTAGCCATATTGCTTGTGAGTATACAGCCCTCATACAGTTGTCTTGTTCTGACAATTCTGCATTCGAAAGATCAGTATACCTCGGAACATTCCTGGTCTTTCTTATCCCTGTCTCAGTCATCCTCGCTTCCTACCTGGCCATTCTCCTGCAAGTCCTGAGATCGCGTTCCTCTGAAAGGAGCCACAAAGCCTTGGGCACTTGCTTGTCCCACTTGTGCGTGGTGGGCCTCTTCTATGGAGCAGCCATTTTGACCTACATGACACCCATTTCATCCTATTCAGCACAGAAGGCCATGATCAATTCTCTTTTTACTACCATCATTCCTGCCACAATGAATCCTTTCATCTACAGCCTGAGGAACCGGGATGTCTTGGCAGCCCTGAGGAAACTCTTTGCAAGTATACTTCAATTCAGTGAATGAGGGTATGGATAAAAAGAAGGCTGCTGATATGCTTCTTTGCGAACCTAATGGCCAATTCAGTATCTATAATGAAAAAAAATGTCATCAAAACATTTGTCTAAATATATTTTAATTGAAATTGGAAATTGAAATTGATAGAAGTGGTGCAAAAGATAGCTGTGAAATATAGGGCTTGGTTGGTCATTTTTCATTTCTTTTGCCTCATATGATAGTTATTTAGATGCTTAGCTACTTCTTTGTCCTAGTGCTATGGCTGAAATTTGGGGACAATAAATATGTTTTTTTACTATACAAAATTATTGTAAAGACTACTATAGAAATGTATGTAAAGTGCTTTGATCACCTAAGCATTCATAGATGATAGATAGATAGATAGATAGATAGATAGATAGATAGATAGATAGGATGTGATAGATAGAAGAGAGAGAGAGAGAGAGAGGGTACTGCCATGTATCTAATGTGTCTGGTATGCTATTCAGTCTCAGAGACAGTCCACACATAATGGCAGAGTGCAAGTTACAGGCAGGAACTTAATCAAATAGCTGGCATTGTGTACAGGAACATCTGTTCAATGTATGGGCTAGGGTTTCCTACCTGAGTAGGGGGTTGGACTAGATCAGGGCTTTTCAACCAGTGGTATGCGTACCACTTGTGGTACTTTGTCACATGGCAGGTGGTACGCGATTGCTAGCCAAGTGTAGCAGGGGAGGGGAATGAGCCGAAGTGAGCCAAGCCTGAGGGAGAGGCAGCTGCAGCTGCATGACTGTCTGCATTCGGCAGAAGCCCCAGGAGCTGGCAGGGCTCCAGCTGATTGGCTCCAGCTGATTAGTGCTTCCAGAAGCAACTCGGAGCTGGAAGTGAACTGTAGAAAAAGGGGGGGAAGAGATGAGAGGCTATAAAACAGGGGTGTCAAACTACCGGCGAGTGGGCCGGATGCGTCATCCAGAAGCCACACCCACCCCGTTGCCAGCAATGGCAAAACTGTCCCAATACATGCGATGTCACATGACGTCGCGAGTTTGACATGTCTGTTATAAAAAAACATGGTTTGGGTGGGGGAAGGCAAAAAAAGACAACAGGAAAGTTTTAATCCTTTTAAACAAATTTAATTAGTTTTACCCCCTTTAACTGAGTCTGTCTGTGGCTTTTAGAAAGTTTTCTTTGAAGGTAAACAGGCTTAATTTAAAGCTAAAGCTTTTTGCAATTCCCTGAGCCTTTCAGTCTAGGATTGCAACATTGTGACACGTGACACACCTGAGGCAGCTTAAAGAGAAAAAAAATGGAGTTTGTGTTTCTTTATTTTATTTTCTTTCTTTACACTTGATTCCTGTGTCTTTAAGGGTACAGGGAAGGGATTGGGGGTTGCATTCTTACTACACTGTGGGAGAGAGGAAGAAGGGCCAACCAGCTAGCTCAGGAGCCTACAAACTTAGCAACTTTAAGACCTGTGGACTTCAACTCCCAAAATTCCTCAACCAGCCATGAGGGCTGAGGAATTCTGGGAGTTGAAGTCCACAAGTCTTTAAAGTGCCAAGTTTGAAGACCCCTGAACTAGCTGGTAATGGTGCATATTAATAAACATGGATAAATTCATCATACATTTGTCAGTGCAAAGGGAAAGTGATTCAGCAAAGGAACAGCCACCAAAGAAATTAAAACTGGTAATTTTTTTACTTTTTTTCTACAGTTTGTAATATTTTATTAGATTATAGAATAAAATACAAAAATACAAAAGCAAATAATATGACACAGTGGGGAGGAAAAAGGGCGGGAAAGTGAGGGGGAGAAGGGAAAAAGAACATACTTCCTCTGTTGCAGTAGAAGGAAGCATTAACATTGAACCTCAACTTTTTACTTTTCCATAATATTATAAATTAGTCATTTGTATAACAACAAATGAATCTAATCAGTAAAACCCAACCCCCCCTTTTTAGTCATCACTTTTTGACACCTTGCTAAACACTGGTGGTACTTGAATATTGTCATGTCCTAAAAGTGATACAATCTGTGAAAAGGTTGAAAAGCCCTGGACTAGATGATCTCCAAGGTCCCTTCCATCATCATCATCATCATGATCATTACTGAATGGGCAACTTTAATTGAAACAATGTTAGCCATAAGGACTGCGTTAAAGGAACACATCAATTTCCTAGAGAGATACTGGCTTCTTTCTAGGATGTTTTTAGGCACAGATAAAATAGCATCTGGGAATTTGAATTAATGACTTTTTAAAGTTTATTCTATAATTTTGGTTCTCTGTTAATGAATTCAGGGTTTCAAAGTGATTCCTGATGTTCTCTGTGAAATATTGAGTCTATGCACAAAGTCAAAACATGGGAATCGACTGGCTTTCTTCTTTTTTTACCATGCCTTGGAACTTGCCCATGAGCAGTTTGTGATCTGTTCCCATCGTCAGCACCTGGCCATATCTTTGATGCTATAATGGAGCTCTTCAAAATCCTATGTGCAACATTATGGAAGCACAAGCAATAGAACACAGTCAAACTAGAATCTTGGGCTTTAAGAGAGCTAGTTTCAATAAACTTAGAGAGGGCATGGGAAGGATTCCATGGATGAGAATCCTTAAGGGGAAAACAATTCAAGAAGCCTGGGAAATTTTGAAAAGTGAGATAATAAAAGCCCAGTCTAGCACAATATCAACAAAGAAGAAAAACAACAGCTCTCAAAAGAAACCAGCATGGCTGCATAAAGAACTCTCTGATAAATTGAAAGATAAAAAGGACAAGTATAAAAAGTGGAAAGAGGGGCACATAACTAAGGCAGAATATCAGCAAATAGCCCGAGCCTGCAAAGATGAAGTGAGGAAAGCTAAGTCTCAGAATGAAATAAGGCTTGCGACCAAAGTCAAAAATAACAAAAAAGCTTCTTTCAACCTGTAAAAAAACAAGAAAAAGTGAAGGAAATGATTGGTCCATTAGTGGGGGAAAGTGGCAAGAAGGTGACAAGCAACAGGGAGAAATCAGAAGTATTTAATTCATTTTTTGCATCTGTCTTTACACAAAGGGAAAAAACAGTCGAACCTATCAAAAACAGTGCCATAAAAAACAGAATAGAAACACAAGTTAAAATAGGCAAGAAAATAGTAAGTGAATACCTGTCCAGCCTAGACAAGTTCAAATCACCAGGACCAGATGGATTACACCCCAAGGTTCTCAAGGAACTGGCAGATGTGATCTCAGAACCACTGAACTATATTTTTCAAAGATCCTGGAGCACTGGGGAACTACCAGAGGACTGGAAAAGAGCTGATGTAGTTCCCATCTTCAAAAAAGGGGGGAAAAATGGATCCAGGAAATTACAGACATATTAGCCTGACCTCAATACCTGAGACGATTCTGGAAAAGATAATCAAACAATGAATCAATGAACACCTAGAGGCAAACAAAGTCATTACTAAAAGCCAACATGGGTTTGTCAAAAACAGATCATGCCAGACAAATCTTATTGCATTCTTTGACCAAGTGACAAACTTAGTGGACCAGAGGAATGCTGTGGATATAATTTATTTGGACTTCAGTAAGTAGTCTTTGATAAAGTAGATCACAACTTTTCTAAGATAGAAAAATGTGGGTTAGACCAGGGCTTTTCAACCTTTTCACCCATTGTACCACTTTTAGGATATGGCAATATCTGAGTACCACCAGTTGTCTAGTAAGGTGTCAAAAACTTTACCCCCCAAAAAGGAAAAAAGTGATAAAGTACAGGTAGTCTTCAATTTACAACAGTTCACTTAATGACTGTTGGAAGTTACAATGGCATTGAAAAAAATGCCCTCCAAGCCACAGCCGAGCACGACACCTGCCAGCCCACCCAATGGCGCTCTTCCTCCTGTCCATGGTTTTCATTCTCATTTCTGTTGAGGATTGGTAGCGGAGGTGGGGTGGGGAGTGTTTGGTTTTTATTCCACCCGTTTGCTAGGTGGTTGCAGCAGGTTTTTGTCACTTCACATGACCCTGGGACACTGTGACCATCATAAATACGAATCAGTTGCCAAGCATCTGAATGTACATCACAAGACCCTGGAGATGCTGCAACATTCCAGCTGATTGATGCTTCTTCAGGACTCAGCAGAAGTGCCAGGATCAGCACCGAGCTCCAGATGGAGCCTGGCACTGATCCTGGTGCTTCCATTGACCCCTGACAACCTCGAAGAAGCACTGGTCAGTTGGAAAGTGGCACTGATCCTGGCACTTCTGCTGAGCCCTGACAGCCCTGCAGCTCCAGCCATCTCTCGCTCAGGCTTATGCGGTGCTGCCACACTGTACTCAGTGTGTGGTCCTCAATGAAACTGCATCTACATGGAGGGAAGTGTGTAGCAAGATACCCCAGGATTCTGTTCTAGGCCCGGTGCTCTTCAACATCTTCATCAACGATTTGGACAAGGGGATAGATGGGGAACTCATCAAATTTGCAGACGACACCAAGTTGGCAGGAATAGCCAACACTCCAGAAGACAGGCTTAAGATACAGGAGGATCTGGACAGACTTGAACACTGGGCTCTATGTAACAAAATGAAATTCAATGGTGAAAAAAGTAAGGCTCTACATTTAGGCAAGAAAAACCAAATGTACAGGAACAGTATAGGGGGTATCTTGCTCAATAGTAGTAACTGTGAGAGGGATCTTGGAGTCCTAGTAGACAATCACTTAAATATGAGCCAGCAGTGTGCTGCAGCTGCCAAAAAAGCCAACACAGTGCTAGGCTGAATTAACAGAGGATTAGAATCAAGATCACGTGAAGTGTTAATACCACTTTACAATGCCTTGGTAAGGCCACACTTGGAATACTGCATCCAGTTTTGGTCACCACGATATAAAAAAGATGTTGAGATTCTAGAAAGAGTACAGAGAAGAGCAGCAAAGAACGGTTGCTGGAATTGGGTATGTCTAGTTTAATGAAGAGAAGGACGAGGGGGGGGGACATGATAGCAGTGTTCCAATATCTCAGGGGCTGCCACAAAGAAGAGGGAGTCAAGCTATTCTCCAAAGTGCTGGAAGGCAGGACAAGAAGCAATGGATGGAAACTAACCAAGGAGAGAAGCAACCTAGAACTAAGGAGAAACTTCCTGACACTTAGAACAATTAATCAGTGGAACAACCTGCCTCCAGAAGCGGTGAATGCGACAACACTGGAAGTTTTTAAGAAGAGACTGGATAGCCATTTGTCTGAAATAGTATAGGGTTACCTGCCTAGGACGGGGGTTGGACTAGATGATCTCCAAGGTCCCTTCCAACTTTATTATTATGGATCATCGCACAGTCAGCCAGATGTTCAGACTGGATTTGGCATTTTGTTTACCTATCTAGTCCTTACCCAGGACCTGGGATA